GGAGCTGACAGAGCAGCGACACCGCGTGGCCGGACGCGAGAGCAGCCCGCCTGAGCGGGGCGGCCGGAGCCCCGCCCGGCCCAGGGGCGGAGACGCAGAAGGCGAAGGAGGCAGGAAGCGCGGCTCCTCACACGTGCGGGCGGGCCACTTCCGGCTCTGCGGGCGCTCCTTCCGGCCACAGCCCGAGGATTGAAGGCAGGATGGCGGGTGCTCTCGGATCCAGAGGGACGAAGGCAGGCGGGCCACAGGGCGTCTGTAGTTTGGTGCTTGCCGCCGCTGCCGCGCCCGGAGCCGGAGAGGACTCACGGAGACGTCTTGCGGCCCTCGGCCCTCGGGTGTTTCTTCTCGGCGGCGAGGACGGGACCTCGCAGAGCTGGGGAAGGGATGGAGGGCGCAGGGCTGCTGCCGTCGCGACTGTCAACGGGGAGGCGCTCGAAGTCGTTAGCGGGAGTGCCCGGCCCTTCACATCCCGCTCCGTGGGGAAAGCTACGGCTCCCGCGGGGCGGCGCGTCCGTGGGCGTGGCCCCGAGTCCAGCCTGGTGGCTGACCTCGGAGCTGCTTCCCTCCGCAGCCCCGTTACACAGAGGGCGGTCTCGTCTCATCCGCAGAGGGGGCGGGGGCGGGAGCCTGTTCCTCACACTCGCTCAGGTTTTCACCTCTTTGAGAAAAGTCTCAGGATTTGTCCCCCAATTCTGCGCTGTCGCGGAGAAGGGACTCCTCGAGCATGTCCAGGTAAGCACTTAGGGCTCGCCCGCAAGGAACTGGGACATGCGTCCTCCCACCCAGCGGTCAGCAGGGAAGCCCCGCCCCGCCTCCACGAATCCCTAACTTCCACCGAGGTCCTGGGGCGGTGGGAGAGCCAGGGCCACTTCCCGCGGCTGTAAGCTCGGTGCTGCCGTGACCCCCGCCACGAGGAGCTGGGTGCAGGGCAGAGTCAGAGGGCCCGGTGGGTCCTGGGACCCAGAGTTGACGGGACCCTCCTGAACCCCGATGTCACCTCTCTCCTTTAAGCTGGCTCTAGTCGATTTCTGTCACTTGCAACTTTGAGAGAACAAACTATACAGCGTGCCGGACAATCTCCTTTCCACTTGGTTTCCTCACCTGCTCAGTGAGAAGTATCATTCATCCTGCAGGTATCTACCGAATGCTTTCTCTGCTAGGCACCGGTTCAGGTTCTGGGAGACGTCGCTGGGGAACCAAAGGGCTTTTTAAAAAGTCCTTCCTTTGAGGCGGGGTACAGCTCAGTGGTAGAGTACGTGCCTAGCATGCTTGAGGTCCTGGGTTCAATCCCCAGTCCCTGCATTAAATGAATGAATAAATAAATAGATGGATAAATAAATAAAGCCTTCCTTTAGGAAACATTTCTTTCCCCAGAACGTCTCTGGAAATCCCATAAACCTATAGGAGAAGACAGACCAGCTGAAGGGCTGGTTGACCCAACAGAGCACAGCCCCCAGGCTTAGAAAGCGTACCGGAGCGCCCGGTCCCGCGAAACAATCTATCTCCCTTTTGGCTTTAAAATAAAATTAGGCTAAAGGGTTCAGCTTTCTGGGGTGTCTTTTCCGTCCTGGAGCAGCCGCTCTGACGGTCTGCCCCCACCCCCAGCCCCACTCCCGGCAAGCTCTCTCCACGCTGCCTTCCCTATCTGCTCTGGCTGGGGCAGCTTGCAGACCATTTCCAGTTACCGTGGGGAGCAGCAGAGAATACACATAAGTGACAAATTTTAAATTCGCAGCCAGTTAAAAACCTAATTCTAGCTGTCCCTTCTCCCAGGCCCTCGTTTATCAGAAGCCCCAGGTTCTAACTTCTGTTGCCGCCTGGGGCAGAGTTGCAAATGGACAGAGTGACGGCGGAAAGGCAGGCAGTGGGGGAGAAGCAAAGAGTGGGGACAGTCTCCCGAGGAGCACCTGGCGGCTCACGACCCAAGTGTGTGGGGTGTCCTGTCTTCCACGATGCCTGCCATCCGACCCCCACACCTGGGCCCCAACCTTCTCACCTTTGGGCAAGTTACCCGCAGTTCGTGTGGAAAACCAGGTGGTAAAGCGCCTTTACTTACTGTTTGGCGTCGTTGCAGGGCGGATTCTGACCGAACAAAGGCCTCACAAGACTCAGCGACCGTGGCCTTCTCAGCCCCCGACATTCCCTCCAGACACGAAGCTTGTCATTCCAACCGGAGCGCAGGGGCTTCCGGTAGACGGGCCCTGTGCTGCAGCGTCTCAGCCGGACGTGGTGACAGTTGCTTTTTCTTTCACATACCCCACGCCTCCAGCGCCTCTCCATCTCCTCCCCCAAATTAATGAAAACGTTCTTCCCTGTGTGCGTGGTGGCTGCGGGTGGGCGTGAGCGCACACACACGCGCGCGGCACACGCACTGAGGTCCCCAAATACACACGACCGGGGCCCGTGGGGCCTGGCAATGAGTCCGAGCTTGTTTCCGGACGGAAATGACCCCTTTCCCCACCTTCTTGGGATCCTGCAGCTCTCTGCCCACAAAACAGGCCTCTTCCCTGATAAGTCACTGCAGCTGTGACATCTCCGTCTGGTTGGAGCAACTTCGGCCACAGAGCCCTCGCTGGTGCCTGGAACTCCAGGGGACAGCAAAGCTTCAAGAAAGTAACAATGAGTTAAGGGAGGAAGCAGAGGAGAATTTCAGGAGCAATCTAACTCAAGTAGCAAGTTTTGTTTCTCACCTCAAAAGACAGCGCGGCTGCCGACTGAGCGAGTCCTCCAATTAGACTTGGAATCCAGGTTTTGAGACGCTCGTCAGAAAGCCGTTAGGAACAGGGCCTGTCCTCGGCTCAACCCCGGCAGGGGCTGTCTTCCCGCCCTCCCATCTGCTTTACAGGGAGGCGGTCAGGCATGCCCTTCTCCGCACTGTATCTTGAAGACAAGGTGAATGCGTGCAGGTGGACGGAGCTCAAAAAATACTGCCTGATCTTAATCATAATGAATCTGTCGGCTTCCCTCCGCAGCCCTAGGGGGGACATTCCAGGGCAAGTCAGCTCTGCTCTGCGCCAGCATCCTCCCCCATCAAAAAGCCTCCCTGGGGCCTAGAACCACTCGGTCCGGGCGGGACATCAGTTCAATGAGATTGCACGTTCATACGTTTCATGTGCCAGGGATTCTGGGCTGGGTCGGGAATTAGGACCCGGCTGCCCGCCTCCCTGTGGGTCCTGGGTTAGCTCTCAACGACTGGGGGCCCCGTGGGGTCTCTGGACCACCAGCACAGAACCCCTTGGTGTTCTTGCTGAGGGTGCAGTGGTCCCGGCTCCACGGCAGACCTACACTCTCTGGAGCTGGCGGTCTAGGACTCAGAATTTCTGCATCATGTGAAGGTCTGGGGCCTGCTCAAGGTCTGGAGGGCCTTATCTGGGGCCCGGGGGCTGGAGGTCTGACTGCCACACTTGCTTCCTGCCCAAGCATGCCGTGGTCCTGAGCAGAAGCTCACTGGGGGCCGGTCTCCATGTTGCCGGCCACGTTCGCCCAGCATCGCCGGTCACCTCACAGACAGCTGCCCACTCACCAGGCTTCAACGAGCCCGTGACAACAACTCTAACTTCACCCCAACCTCTTCCAAGTCAGATAATTCTGAGACCTGTCAGTGCCCGCGACAACCACACAGGTGTCTGAATGTACAACCTGCTCCCCACGTTAGAAAGAAAACCTTGATTATCTGCCCCATGCCCTTGCCACAGCTCTGCAGGGGCCCTCGACGTGACGGGGGATCCATCTCCCGCCATGAGCAGGGGCATCACTGTTTGATTTTGCGGACAAGTCACTCTTGGCTAATTTCCTGAAGTGTCTGAGAATGAACTGGATCTCAGCTCTTAAAACACTTTGAGCAGCAGACAGAGGGTACCTCCCGGTCTCTAGACCACGGAGGTAGGAGGGGCAACAGTGATGCCAACCAGGTCTCAAAACCCTTAGAGGCTCCTCTGTAGATACTAAAGACTCAGCAGGACTTCCTTTACAATGTTCTGCAATATCGTTTGCTCGTTATAATCAGGTTAATTCTGTAATCTCATCTCTTCCCCAGACACAAACTTTTCCAAGATAAAACTGTTGTCTTTAGTGGCTACGGGTCACCCCCAGGCAGCGTGGCTCCACGTCTCTCCCAGAAACTCCTTCCTCCCTTCCTAGGATGCTTCTCCCTTCCTGGACCCCTGCTGTCCCAGATGCTCCAAAACTGGACGTGGAAGACACAGAGGCCCGCAGAGGGCATCCCCGTGGACTGTGCGTAACCAAGAGCCGGGGAAGCAACTTGGAAGGAGGAAAAATGGGGCAGACGGGGGAGAGGAGGGAAACCCGGGGTTTAAGCTTCAATCTCTGAGTTCTTTTGCTCATTAACAGCTACCCTTGAACTCTGCTCTGCTCTCAGGGATGGGGCTTCTGCGCGTCACCTCGTTGATGCTCACGATGCCCCCCCTCCACCGCCGCCACCGCCGGCACCAAACTAGAGCTCTAAAGAGCCTTGCTCCCCCACCCTCCTCCATTCGCGCGCCGTGTAGCAGGGCTCCAAGGATCAGATCGAAAATAGAAGGAGACCCAGGAAAGAGCTGTGTGTCCAAATAAGGACAGAGAGCAACTTCAGCGGAAGGCGTTTAATGTCAGAGGGAAACTACACCTGGGGCTGAGACTCAGCAGCCCCAGCCTGACCCAGCCTCCCTCGACGGCGGGGCGGGACGGCACGGGGCCGGGGAGGCGGCAGCAGCTTCCCGGGTCGCTGCTCCCCGCGCTGGAGCTCAGTGCGACCTGCCCTCCGCCTGCACCTCCTGCTTTCTGCAGCTGGGGCCCAGACATTCAGTCTCTGTCTTTCCGGACGCGGCAGGTCAAACGACCCCTCCCTCTCGGTGTCAGGGAGCCAGAGGACGGCGAGGAAGAGCAGTTCCCGCCACAGCAACCGGCCCCAGGGCTGGCGGGGCGCTGGTCCCCCTGGGGTTCCCAGGTCAGAGACGACACGGGGCCTGCAAGCACGCATACGAAGGAACACGCCAGGCAGCACTGGGCCTCTTCCAGGACCAGTCGGCCTGCTGGACCAGACCCTGAAAACGTCCGGGCGAAGCTGCGCTCTGGCCGCCTTCCCCAGGACAGTCATCCACCCGACAGACTCCGGACACAATCATCTTCTCCATCCGGCTGCCACCTCTCCCCCCAAGGCCGGGGTGGGGGGACCGGCATGGTGGGCGTCCTCGCCAGAGGTGGGGAAGGACCCCTCCCCCCACGGGGAGGGGATCAGCAAGCCCGACCCTCAGGGACCCCCAGCACCTCTTAAATAAGCTTTTCCTTTCCATTCTCTTCTTTTAATGATTTACCATCCATCCCTTTATTTATACAAATATAAAATAGATTTATATAGACTTCTATAATATAAACTTCTGTGAGGCGGAGCGGAGGCGAGGCCAGGGACGAACGGGCCCCCGGAGCTACTTGCAGACGAACTGGTCCACGGTCTGCGCGCACTTCCTGCACCTGACGAAGCAGCACCAGTGGAACCTGCAGTGGCAGCGCTCCACCCGCACGCTCTTGAACTGGTCGTAGCCGCGGCCGCAGCACATGAGCGCACAGCCGTCCATGCCCTCTGACGTCTTGTTGCACAGCCGGCCCTGCGTGCCCAGCGAGCCGGTGGTGTCGTTGCGCAGGCAGTAGTCGGGGCTGGGGTCCACGTAGACCAGGTCCTCGGGTGTGGGCGGGTTGAAGCGGCTGTTGACCAGCTCCAGCTTGCCCCGCCGGGTGACGCGCACGGCCGCCGCGCTGTCGTATTTCTCCTTCAGCTGGTCCCCCACCTTGCGGAACTCGGCCAGCTGCAGCCAGCAGGTCTTGAGGCTGCAGGACCCCGAGACGCCGTGGCACTTGCAGGCTACGTCTGCCATCTTATACACAGCCTGTGGGGAGGAGGGAGACGGCGTGAGAAGGGGCATCCCCGAGGGAAGACGCCGGAGGGCGTCTGGGGTCGCCCCCGCCACGTGCCGGCGAGGGCTGGTGGAGCGTGCGGGCGCAGGGGCAGCTTCCCGACTGTATCCAAAGGTCTTTCCAGAAGAGCAGCAGCACATGGGAACACGCTGGGAGGTGACATCTGTGTCTGATCAGCCACCAGGGAGGCACCTGCCCTTCCTATGTCACCCATTTCTTATTCCTGGAAATTTGTTAGATGTGTCATCTTTACCATCAGAGAAAAAGGATACTTCCATCTTGACCAAAGTCCCAAACAAGGGAAGAGGGTTCAGCTCAGCTGGAGAGCACGTGCTTTGTGTGCCCAGGGTCCTGGATTCAGTCCCCGGTGCCTCTGTTAAGGGGGAAAAACATCTCAGACAAACAAAAACCAACAAGATGACTCCAGCTTTTACATGGTACAGAGCCCAAGTCAGGAAAAAGAGCCCAGACCATGAGCCTGAAACAGAGACCACTGTGCAGCACAGGGAAACATATATAGAACCTTGTGGTGGCTCACAGTGGAAGGGGATGTGACAATGAACGCATGCGTGTTCATGTATAACTGAAAAACTGCGCTCTACACTGGAATTTGACACAACATTGTAAAATGACTGCAACTCAATAAAAAAAGTTTAAAAAATACAAGGGATAAAAAAAAACCCACAGAAACCACTGGCAGGGCCCCACTTAGCCGAAACTCTCCCAGTCCTGCCAAGCCCCCTAGGAACTGGAGGGCCCCTTGTTCTGTGTTAACAGCCGGCTATTAGCTCCGCATTCCCGCCAGGAGCCTCGCCATAAACCACATTTGTGACAAGGCCTCCCACCGGGAGAGGCTGTGACGCAGGGGAGGTGGGGGCCCCCTGAGATGGAAGAGCTGGTTGATAGGTCCACCTCAGGGGTGACTCCTGGGAAAGCAAATCCACCCGGACGTCACTGGACCCAGCAAGGGGAGTGGACCGGACCTGGGCTGTCCCAGGTCCAAGGGTAAAAGCAGGCGTGGACCCGCACGCCGCTCACCAAGCGCTCTTCGGCGACAGCCCATGGCCGCGCTGTGTCCAGTCCCTGGCAGCGGGCCCAGCCGTGCAGATGGCAGGACACAGACACAGGCCCCCGCAGGCCCCTCTCTAATGCCACAGCCATTGTCACCCACGGAGGCAGGACTCATTTGTCAGGGGTTTCTCTCGGATTTCTTTCCCAGAGTTCCCAGGCTGTGGCTGTGGAGGCCGCTGCAGGTGCAAGGAACAGCTTCGCTTGCACCAGCTTGCGTCACTACTGTCGAAAGTCGTCCTGGTTTTCCCCTGGGGTGGAGCTTCCCCCCTACTTTAGGGTGGAGAAACTGCCCCTCTGCAGAGGCTTAATGACCTGCACAGGGCCACCCAGGAGGGAGTCAGGAAGACCTTCGCTTCTGGCTCCAACCTTGGGGCTTAAAAAGGGATTAGGGCGGAGAGGGCAGGCCGGCCCCCACCCAGGGTTAGAGGCACCAGCCCTTGGCAGCAGCTCCAGGCTCCAGGCCCCAGGCGCCGAGGAACCTACCGCCCGTCCCAGCAGGCACTTCAAAGACGGGCCTGCAGTCACCCTCCCGGCACAAATCCCCTGGGACTGAGCCGGAGCCTGAGATTCCTTGGAAGTGGTCCTGGGCTTAGAGGCGGAAGTCAGGCATCTGGCGCTGCTGGGAGGAGGAAACATTAAGGGCCTAAAATTGAGAACCGCTAAGTGGCTGGGGGCGGATAGGCACCTCCCCCGGGAGCAGACACTTCGGGAGATTTGGGGAGGAAGTGAGGCCCCCGAGGAAGGACAGGAATTTCAGTAAAACCAACCCAGCAGGGAGAGCCTCACTGGACCTCGCTATTCAGACGTTCCTTCCACCCTCCCTCTGGGAAGACAGCCGTCATGCACACAGGAAGGCCTGTGTTCTAAGCATTTCACTGTGGCCAACATGGACACGCTCCTCCCGCAAGAGAAGGGGGAAACCCCAGCTTGGGGCCCTTCCTGTTCACTGCAAAAGCAACAGAATGTGTTGCCATTTTTCTCAGTTCTTGCCCCCAGCACAGCCCCCCCCGACCCGGCCCTCTCATGTCTCTCTGATGGTGTGACGGGCTTGGGACGGGCAGGAATGTCAGCTTTATCTGGAAGATGTTTGGCGGCCCTTGAGGGACAAGGCAGTGTCACCCCCCTGCTCCTGCCCTGAATATGCAAAATGGGGTCACTGGAGACCCTCAAAGGCCAAGAGAAATTCTTGCAAAGGACCCCGAAGATTTACTCTGCGGTCAGGATGTCAGATCCTAGATATTTCACTTAAAAAAAGGATCAGGCTGTAAAACAGTAATCCAGGGAACGTTCATTCCCTGCCAGCACCGAGGGACTGTCTGTGAGGGTGTGAGGGCTGGGAGGTGGCGGGTTGGGGGCGCCTGCTCCCTGGCGAGGGTAAGAAACAGAGGGACAGAATTCTGCACCTGGAGCAGACGGAGGCTGGGGAAGACAAGGGGCTGTGAGGAGGTGCAGGGACAGGGAAGACGCAGAGGGGTGCGGGGAGGACCGGCCAGATAAGGGCTGGAAAAAGCAAACAGACAAGGGCGGCGCCATGAGGAGCCAGCAGAAGTGGGGTCAAGACGGGGCTGACCTGGCCCCTCTCCGAGAATGCCCAGTCCCCTCCGCGTCTGCCACGGTGCCCCCAGGACAGCAGAGACAGGCAAGCCCCCTGAATTTGACCTCTTGAAAGCAGGCCTCCCGGACTTGTCTCTGCACAGTCAGGTGCGCCCACCCCTGTGGAACGCACAGCAGGGGTCCGACAGCACCCCTGTCCTCGGGGACTGCAGCCATGGGGGGGACGATGCCTCAGAGAAAGTCTAAAACACCACACTGCACGTGAGACGCAGAGAAACCATGACCACAGGGGACAGGAAAGACCTCAGGAGCGGGTGGTATTTGAACTGAGATCTTGAAAAATAGGTGGGATTTGGGCATCCTGGAAATAAAATGGAGACTTCAACCCCCTTTTTTTAAAAAAACAGTCTCTTTCATGGTTACACACCCAGCCTGGCAGACAGAAGGAGGAAGTCCTGGGAGACTGAGGCGCCTCCACCGACACCCCAAGAGCGGAAGGTGATCCGAGGGCTCTGGGCTCTCTGCCTTGTTTACACACGAAGCCACAGATCAGAGCCACAGCCTGTACTCCCGACACCACTGCAGACGATTCCCACGGCTGGCCAGACAAAACCGGCCTCTGACGGCGGCTCTGGAAGGAAGACGCTGGCACCGCCTGATTCTAATTTCGACGCTGTCGCCCTGGTGATGGCGCTAAGTTTACACGCGGGCACCACGTTTTGCCAGCACCACAGGGTCCCCAGTCAGAGAAAAGGCATTTCTAGCTCCCTTTGTTTGCTGTGTGTTCCCACAAAACATGGGTTAAATTTTCTAAAAATAATATATAAACACTTTTTTAAAAAGTGTATCTATATCCTGTTGCTAAATCACCAATGAACCGTTAAATTTCTGAATTTAAAGAAAAAGAAATTGAACGAACAACAAAAAAAAGAAAATTAAAAAATAAAAAAGGAGAAATGAACAAAAACAAAAAAACAAAGAAATAAAAAGAATTTTAAAAAAAGAAAGCAAAAGAAAATTTCTGAATTTACTTTTGTTCCTCCAGGAACGGCTTTTCCGGTTTTTGAGTTAGCTCATCTTTGGCTTCACCACAGAATCTTGCTGGGGCCCAAGCCCGGCTTGACGCAGCTCTGAGTGTGAACGGCAGGCTCCCAGAGGAGGGCTGTGTGGTTTCCCGAGAAGTGTGTGGACTGTGCCAGGAGGGCCTCCGGCCACCCAGCTCTCAGGCCGCAGACCTCTCCAGGGAGCCCTGGACGCACATGTGCACTGGAGACCTGAACAGCCGAGGCAGAGCATCCCACGGTGTGAGCCCTCTGCTCCGGGGCCAGAGGCAGACTCTGCTGAGCAGCCTGGGAGAGAGGGGGCCTCCCGAGCAAGGCGCCGGTGGAGACGGCACCAGCTCTCCAGCACACGTGCAGGGAGCCCGGAGCCCCTGCCCAGGCGAGAAACACAGCTCCCCCCAAAACCACACTTCAGTTTCCACTGAACTGGAGGCTCAGAAGACCGTGGCATCTTACATGAGATTGGTCGGACTGAGCCTTCGAAGTATGGGCACTTTCCACACTTCTGCTCATGCTTAAAGCCTGGGGGTGCATTTGCCACCAAGACCGACGCAGGCTTCTGGGGACGGGTGAGAGCAGCTCTCAGAGGTCAGCTCCGCCCTAGACTAGGTCTGGGGGCCTTAAGCTCCCAGTCGCCCCAGCTTCAAATCACAGAGGAAGGGGAATCAAGACAAGAACGCCTCTTCGTGTGCCTGGGACTGATGACAAGACGGCACCTGGCGGGGAGGGTAGAGCTCTGTGGTAGAGCATGTGCTCAGCATGCACGAGGTCCTGGGTTCAATCCCCAGTGCCTCCTCTAAAAATAAATAAGTAAACCTAATTACCTCCCCCCCGGTAAATTAAAAAAAAAAAAAAAAAAGAACTGCACCTAAATCCTACAGGGACAGACGGAAAAGTAAACGAGGTGAAGACAGGTGACAGCTGTGTGTGCCCTTTGGGAAATGGAACCTTTTGGAATCAGGGTCCCCGTCAGCAGCCTGGGTGAGAATCTCTGTGGTGGGACCCACCGCCTTCCTGGACCCCACCCCAGTCGCTGTGCAGCCCCAGCCCAGGAAGAGCCAGTGGGCCAGGTGTGCGTGTGTGGTGGGGGAGGGAGGCAGAGGCTGCCATCCGGGTGTGTGCTTGTGGGCAGGGTCTGCCATGCAGGTGTGGGGGGGTCCGCTTACCCTTCGGCCCGCCTCGTTGTTCTGCAGGTTCATGAGCACGCGGCCCTGCTCCTCCGACCCCTTGGCGAAGTTCTTCTCCCGCTCGCGGGCGTCCACGAACTCCTTGGCGAAGCGGTAGCCGTACTCCACGTTGTCCCCGCAGCCCCCCCACAGCCAGTCCCGGGGCAGGTCCTTGGGCCGCGCCGTCCGGCTGCAGCCGCACGTGGACAGCTCACCCTCGCGGCAGGCCCGGCTGATGGCGTTGACCACCCCGGCCGCGCTCACGGCGTAGGTGAAGGCGGTCTCCCGGCTCCCTGCGGACAAGGAGACAGGCTGCAGGCCCTTCCCTCCTGCTGTGCCCGGGGGGCCTGGCGCTGCCGTGGCCTGAAGACCGCCAGGGAGGGGGCGATGCCAGGAGGGAGCACCTTTCACCTCCATGGGAGGCTCTCCTGGTTACAATCTGCCCTGGACCAGGAGCCCCTCCAGCCCTGACCTGTTGCAGCATTCATTCCGGAGAAGTTTACACACCAGTGGCTTCCTGGGGGGCAGACCTGAGCAGACGGGGGGTGGGCTTAACACACTTCTGGGACGGGTGGGACGGACAGAACGAGACAGGAGAAACAGGCCCAACAGTGCGATCTGTCCCGGCAAACACTTCTCCCTCGCAGACGCCAGGTCCTCACCCTCCGTGAGTCACACGCCTGTCCTTTGTACGGCTGTCATGACCTAGCTTGCCGGCGGCGGAGACCAGGAGTGGAAATGAACTAGAATTATGACTTCCGGAATCGTCCGAGCCCTCTCCCTCTTCCGTGGTCCACACAGCCTCAAACGCCACAGCCCTGGGGAGCCAAGTCCACGGGACGGTCGGCACGGTCTCTCTACACATCCAGATCGTTTACTTCCAGTGGAAAATCCAAACTGTGCACTTCTCTGTCGCCGTGGCCAACCACATAAAAACTCACAATCAGTGGGGAGGGCGTAGCTCACGTGGTAGAGCGCATGCTTAGCATGGAGAGGTCCTGGGTTCAACCCCCAGTACCTCCTCTAAAAATGAAGAAGCAAATAAACCTAATTACACCCCCCAAAACCTAAATAAATAAATAAATCACTCTTCCAAAAACATAAAAAAAACCCACTCACATGATAGAACTTCTACTTCAATAAAAACTTTCATAAAAAGTAATACTCAAAAAAAAAAAACCTCAGCCACCAGGGAAATGCAAATCAAAATCGCGAGACGCTATGAAAAAGAACATGAAAATGAACATACGGCTGTGCACGTACGACTGAAGCATGATGCTGCGCACCAGCAGCTGACACAGCACTGTAAACTGACTGCACCGCGATTACAAAAGAACCACGAGACACCACACCCACAGGGTGGCTCGAATCAAAGAGGCAACGGGTGACGAGCTGATGAGAGCACGGAAGACCGGAGCCCTCCGGTGCTGCCGGTGGCAACGCTGAGCGGGGCGGCTGCTTTGGAAGAGTCTGGCAGCCCCTCAGAAGGTTAAACATAGAATTACCAGCAATTCTACTCCCAAGAATATATCCAAGATAAGCAAAAACATATGTCCACACAAAAACTTGTCCGTGAACGTTCACTGCAGCATCATTCGTAACAGCCCCCAAGTGAAAACAAGCCGGACTGCCCACCAGCAGGCGAACAGGCACCCGAGAGGCGGCAGTGCCCGTGCAGTGGGACGTCGTTCAGCCCGAAGGGTCCTGCGGTGCTGGGACGTGCACGACGTGGGTGACCCTGGAGTTACTGTGCTAAGTGACCACTCTGCACTTCGTACTGAACGGGCCACATGCTGTACGATCCCATTTATATGAAGTGTCCACAACAGGAAGATTCGTAGGGACAGAAAGGTGAGTGGTTGCCTCGGGCTCAGGAGGAGGGGGGAGAGACGGAGAGTGCCCACGAAGGGTATGCAGTTTCTTTGTAGGGCTGCGAAAGCGTGCTAGAATGAGAGAGCGGTGTCGCAGTCCTGTGAGTACACACGGAGCCGGGCCCTTCAGGGTGCTGAGCTGTGTGGCCTGTGAGTTACAGCCCGTAAAGCTGTAAGTGCTCAGATGGACTCGAGTACAGGGGAGGGGCCCTCAGCAGGGAACTGAGATTCAGTCCTGATCTCAGCGGTTAGACCAGGCAGAACCTCTGTCCCCACCTCCCCCTCTTCCGAGCCTGCACGGCCCGAGGTGGACACTCCACGGTCTGCAGTCACGGATGGGTCTAGGACGACCTCCCACCTGGCCCCACTGCTTGACTGTCTAGGTGCCACACGGCAAAGTTTGCAGCCAGAACAGACTGGCACGTCAGCTTTTCTCCGTGAACCAGGGGTCAGCTTCTGGCAGGACGTGGAGGGGGAACAGCACGAGAGCAAGCGGGTGGTGCAGGAAGTCACGCTCAGGATCGAGCCATCGGGACTGACGCCTGCGCCAGTGTGAGCCATGTCCAGAGTCGGGTCCAGGGAGTCAGACGGGGGTACGACGGCCAAGGGGTCTTAGGGAGGAGGGCCCGGCCCCTCTTTGAGGGAGATATGCCTGAGAAGCCATCCCACAGTGGGGCCTCAACACCCCGACCTGGCATCCTGGGCAGGCAGGAGCCTCTGAGGCTGGGCCCACACCCACTTTCCAACCGCGGTGAGAGCTGCTTTTACAGCATCCCCAAGGCCACCCACTCCATCTCTTCTAAACGGCTCTAATCAGCAGAATGTTCTTTCTTAGAGTAAGCTGAAACACGCCTCTCTGTAAGCTCCCCCTGCCAGAGCGAGTCCCCCCACTTGACAGCCTGCAGCGTTCGAGAACAGCCAACATGCCTCTGCTGTTTCCCCCTTTCCGAGCTGCTCACGTCTGACTCCTTCCACTGCCCTTCAGCAAGCCTGCTCCTCCGAGCGGAGTCACCGCTCTCGGAACTGCCTTTTAAAAAAACGTTCCCGCAGCACTGGGCGTGATACTGCTCACCCTCTGGCTCTGAGGGTCCCAGGGCCGTGGGGCTGGACCCCAGTGGGTCCTGGGGGAAGCGGGGCCACTCCGTCTGCCTCCTTGGGTGGGGGGCATCCTCAGCCCCCAGGGCAGGCAGCTCTGCCTTCCTGTGGCAGCTCGTGTGTCTCTGGAGACAGAGGGGCAGACCTCGCGCTGCTCCCAGCAAGCAGGAGGGAACTGGGGCTTCCGAGTGGATAAGCAGCATGGGGGCATCTCTGTATGTGAACCAATCCGGAGAGGAGAAAGGCTAATAAAGCAAGCAGCCACGGGGCCACTGAGAGATCTTGCTTCTTCCCCGACAAGGAGACCGCAGGACAGCATCACGCCCTCTGTTCCACGGCGGCCCAGCCACCAGGGTACGTGCCTTCCGCCTCCGGGGCCACCAGGTGAGGGGCCTACCGCGCTCTGGGCCGCTCTGCTGCCCCCTGGTGGGGGATGCCTGCGGTGGCTCAAAGCGGGGAGGAGTCTTCCACTACGATGGGACTCCAGCGCCCCTGGGCCCAGCGGGAGGCGGAAGGACAGCTTCCTGTGCAGCACCGGCCTGCGCAGAAGCCGCAAAAGGGGGCAGTGCACAGAAGGCAAGCCGAAGGGCTCCCCTGCTAACAGAACAGGGCACGGAGGCACACCCCACCATGCAAACCTGCACCCCGTGTTTCTGCTCCTGACATCCCTCCTGCCCTAGAGTTCACCCCATTGCTTGGCCTTCACAGCAAGATAACACGTGAGGAGGATGTGGCCGACGTCTGGCAGACACTCGGTCCCAAGGAAAGGGCTCGGCGGCTGCCTCACTCCACACCGGGGCCACCCGAGGTCCCTCCCCGAAGACGCAGCAGGAAGAGCTGCTGACCAGGACTCCTCCCGGGGAGGGGGGCAGATGCCGCGTATTTGGGAAGGGCTGATGAATTCTGAGAGTCCCTCTGGGGCCCCAAGCCCATCGTTGTGGGACAGGCGCCCAGTCGCACTGTTGCAGGAACTCGAGAGCCTTCCTTTCACCGGCCTTGAGTTGATGCTGAAGGAAGACGAGAGAAGCCGGGTCCGAGTGTACCTTCCCGGGACCTTCCTTCCCAGCGTGGGGCAGGAGGGGGAGGGGCCTCCACACCAGGGGAGCAGAACCCTAGCTCCCCTGCTCCCTGCTGCTGGACCCACTCTTCGGGCAGAGCTCAGCCCCAGGGGACTCCAGAATGCCGCCTTTTGGGAGGGAGCTGTCCTGGGAGAACGTGAGCCCGGGAGGGTCGGGTCGCTGGGTTCTAACACCTCCCTTTTATGGCCCTGGGACAAGACCCCCGTCAAATAGGCCCGGATTTCTCAATTTCTTGCCAGAGAGGGGAGGATTGCATTTCAAAAGGACCCAAAACAATTAGACCCCAGCTCACACCTCCATGGAAGCAACAGGGTAGCCGAAGGAAGAATCCTCTCGCCGCTTTCAAATGAAAAGGCCGGGACTGGATCTGGGACTGGATCTGGGTCGGGTTAATGACACCACCACCACCAATTTGGCCCGAAGTTTCTATCTCTCTCAGGGTCCAGGTAGAAGAGGCAAAAATCTGGGGACACTCAGGGCTATGATTTTCAGTTCTCTGCCCACAGCCCAGGAGGAGGCCCCAGTGCTGAGACCGGGGGGCAGTGGTTGGTGTGGTGGGCCTCCGAATCCACCCTAACTTGACTCGGACCCTGTCCCCTGCCCAGAGAGAGCACAGGCGGGCAGGGAAGCCGGGGCCAGCGTGCTATTTGAGCTGCCCCTCCTTGCACACCTGCCCCTGTCCCCGGAGTGCTGGGGACCCAGCCCAGGAGAGCATAGTGGCTCGGCTTACCTATCTGCATGACCCTCCCGAAGACGGAGGTGTTGTCCACGGTGCTGCAGTTCCACCGCCGCTGCCGGAACTGGTGCTGGCACTCCCGGATGCCCGTCTTGGCCCCCTCCCCGATGTAGGCCATGTGCTCCTGGTACAGCTGGCACAGCTTCCTCTGGCCAGGGGAGAGCCCCGGCAGCTGGCTGCACACCGGCTGGGCACCGATGATGAACATCTCAGGTCTCTGCACCGGGTTCATGGCCAAGGACCTACAGTGGCGACGCAGAGAAGGCACAGAAGGGCCAGGAATGAGCACAGCCCGTGGGCAGCAGCAGGTCGCTCAGCAAGGTCACGGGGGCGCTCTCCACATGCAGGCCCTGAACACAGAGTCCCTGACTTCAGAGGGAAACTGAGGCATGAACACAGATGACACCAGAGATGTGGAGCAGGGAGACAAAACTGAGCATCTGGGACCAGCCAGGGGAGAGCGCTCAGAGCTGGGAGAGGCTTCCAGAAGGAGAAGCCAGAGTGGGGCTGGGCCTGCGGGGTGGGCGCGGGCGGGCGAAGCCACACCTCTGCAGGAGAACCAGCGGCTTCCCGGAGGAGGAGTGACCAGAGCAGGACTGGAGAGCAATAAATTCCTCTGAAGAGAGCTCCCCTGATGCCTCGAAAACCGAGGCCCATTTACATACACGACAGCATATTCTAAAATTGTCACTTCCCCGTCACCCGCTGGCCCCTGACCTGACCCCACTGTGGCAGTCAGGGCTCTCCCTTCGCCTCCCCCACCCACCAGGTAGAATCAAGTGTGAAGCTGGAGGTGGCTGCAGATTTGTCATCTGAACAAAAAAATGGGAGCAGAGCACAGACCACGCCCAGCGGGGGTTGGGGGGCAGTGGGGCACATGCCTGGCAATGACGGCAGCCTCAGAAAGACAAAGGAAAGCCACGCATGGTCCCGCAAACCCCTCATCTGGTCTTCAGGCTCGTAAACCAGGAATTCTCGCCCCCACCGCCAACAACAAAAAATCAATACCCTTATTGATCCAACAGCAACAGAAGAGCTATTTCTAACAACCCCCAGAGACGGAGGGAGGGCCACAGAAAGGGGCCGTGGACAGGATCAGAGAAAAGACCAAATGCCTGTCGGGGGGCCTTTGCATAACTCGGGGGGCTTGGGTGAGGAACAGAGCTGTCCCGGGCCTCCCGGGGCTGCTGGTAGAGGACCGTCCCTTCTCCGCCCTCCCACCCGCCTGGCAGGCGCGGCCCGCACTCACCACCAGGAGCCAGCTTCGGTCGGAAGCGGAGCCCAGCTGGCGAGCAGGGCAGCGGTGAGCAGGGCCAGCAGGCTGGGCATGGTCCACCTCTGCCCTCCCCAGGGCCCGGGGGAGACCCCGGGACTGACGGCTTCCGAGACGGGGCTCCCTGGAGAGGACAGACACAAGGGAGAGTCAGGGTGGGGGCACCGGGAGAGCCGGCTCCCCGGGAAGGCCAGCCTGTCTCCAACCTCCCCTCCTCCCTCCCTTCCTCGCCCCAACCTGGGGCCCCTGCTCAGACCCACTGCCAAAAGGAACAGGGAGCTGAGGGACCAGAAGAGGGACACGAGTCCTTCGGCGGGCACAGTGTGGCCCGGGCAGCGCTCCGGGAGATGCTCTGGCTGCTGCCACGCACACCGCCCTCCTTCCAGAAGGCCCGCCCGCCCCTCTCAGGGGTGTACCTGTCTGACCGTCCTCGCCCACGTGGCTTGGTTTACAGGCTTCCCTCTCAATCTGCACCCTTCTCGCGCGAGACGCCTTCTCCCAGCCCCAGCCCACGTTCCCCAGGAGTGACAGCAGGAGACGGCGAGGACTGGTCACCTTCTCAAGGCCCCCCCTCTGAGAAACGCGAAGGCCGCCCCCAGAGCTAGGCCGGCGGGGCCCTCTCTGCGCCCTCCAGGGCCCCCGGCAGCGGTGGGCCCGCCACCCTCGAACCAGGCCGGCTGTGCCCAGGACAGCTTTCCCAGGGCCCTTGAAGGCCCGGTCTTCAAGGAGTGAGTCCCTGGAAGCGCGCCCCCTGCCCCCTGGGCCCCCCGCCAGGGCACGACCCGCACCCCAGAGCCCCTTCTTCCCGCGGCCCCTCGGCACCCCAACCTTCCCGGAACACGGGCTCCACGCTCCAAGAGCCCCCAGCTCACCGCGCAGTGCAGGGTCTCCTGGCTCTCCGGGAGGGGCGGCCAGAGCTCCGGGGCATCAGCCCAGATGTCGCGGTCCCGGGGCCACCAGGGGAGGAAGGTGGCCGAGCAGGGCCAGGGGAGCTGGGCCACCGTTGTCCCCACCCCCTCTGGCTTTTCTTCGGGAGGGAGGTCTCGGTGGGGGCGGGGGCACTAGCAGGCAGGTGTGTGGGGCCGGCAGGGGGCAGATCAAAGGGGGACTCACTCCTGCCCCTTTGTCATGCAGAGCCCGCTCGGAAATGAGCCGCCTCGCCGCCGACAACAGCTCCCACACCCTGCTCTCCCAACAGACCTCTTCTCCTCTAAGGAGGCCCCCACCCCCATAAATCCTCCCCGTCCCTCGGGGCAGGAGGTCTGTGAATGCACCGACTGGGACCAGAGATGGGGCAGAGATAGGGCTGGCACCAGAAGCTAATGGCTTTATGGAGGGGAGGGGGCCAGGGCCAGAGCCGGGAGGACACGAGAAAAGCTTCAAAGACTTTCCTTGTCCAAACATCCTCAACTCCACGACCAGCCCTTCTTGGGGACCGAAGGGGCCGAGCCACCCTCCTCCCTTGGTCTTCTCCCTCCCACACTCGCTCCCCAACAGGCCGGCCCCCACCACCCGGCCTCCCGCACCCCCCCTCCCGCCAAGTGGGTCCTAGTGTCTCCCGCCAGCGGACCGAGTTCTCTCTCCCAGGGGTGACGCTTCTGATCCCTGTGAGTCCCCCCCCCCCGACCCCGGCGTCTCTCGCCTGTGTCCCACCGTCTCATCAGGCTCTGTGAATCCCAGGTTCACCCGAGGCCACGCTGGGGACAGGAGTCACCACAGGGGATGGGCTGACAGAGCTGAGGCCAAACCTGCCCAGAGCCGCTAATCCGGCCCTCGTAAACATGAGCGGAGGCGGGCGTCTCCCCGGCAGATGTCCCCACCGCCGGGTGCTTTCCAGCAAACTCAGCTCATTCAAAAGACGTCGTTCAAAAACTAAGAAAAGAAGAAAAAGACCCAGGCCTGTGCGGTGGGGTCTTTCTCTGCCTCCCAGATGTACGGCCCCCTAAGGTGAACGTTTTCCCCCCAAAACACAACCCTCGGGAGACACTCTCTCCCCAGATGCGACCCCCCAGCCCCAGCCGTCCCAGCACCGAGCAAGCGGGCAGCCCTCAGCCTCCCTTGCTCCCTCTGCTTTCCTGGGCAGGGCTGGAGGGGAAGGGAAGCGTCAGCAGCTGGTCTCATGGGCCTGGGCTGAACGGCTGGGGAAGAGGGAAGCTGGGTCAGCTGAGGGTTTGACCTAATGAGCGCAGAACACGGCAGGAGGGGTCCAGGTCTCTCCTTGGCCGAGGGGGGCGTGCGACTTTGTCAGTCAGGACCCCTCCAGAGGGCCAGAGCTCTGCCCTACTGCCTCATGCATGCATGCATTCATTCATTTATTCAAAGCAGTCATTCATCAGATGTGCACTGGGGGCCGGTGTGTGCCACTCAGGGCTCGCAGCACCAGCGAGGGACAAGTAAGCACAAAGCAGGTCAGGTCCAGTGAACTGCGGGGAAACCCAAGTAGGGTCAAGGGTGAGGGTGATGCTCACCTTACTTAGGGCCCCTGGAGGAGCGTCTCCCCAGACCACTGGGCAGGATGGGGAGGTAGCAGGGCCACCAGAGCGTGGCCCTGCTGCTCATCGGACCCCCGTGCACACCCGGGGTCCTCACTGAGAGCACTGTGCCGTCACAACCAAAGGGCCGCACATTTGGAAGTGGGACTTCTCCTGGCTGGACTCAGCCACCAAGTTTCATTCCCTTAAGAGATGCAGTGAGGAGACCAGAAGAGGCACTCGGGCGAGTGCAGCCACCCCAGCAGCTCTGTCCCTGAAGTCGCATGTGCCGTCCTCACCCGGAGCAGTGATGCCGTGGAAACCCCGACCCACGGCACAAGCGCTCGTCAAGCTCGCTGGCCGCCCGCAGAACCAGCCCTGGGCGCTCAGGACTGGCCTTGCCAGAGTCGAGCCCCCAGGAAGTGGTGTCACCTCCCACACCTGCCCCCGGCCCCAGACAGGCAGCCCCACACCTAGAACCCTCCCCGCACCTAGAACCCTCCCTGTAAGCACAGGCTGTGTGGAGACTTCTTCCTCTGTGCCCCGAGGAGCAGCCGCGGCGTGTGGTCCAGAGACCGTCTGCCGTACGTTAGCGATGCTGCCACAGCGAAGCCGACGGCCGCAGCCACTCGGGAGGGGCCGTGTCCCCGTGTGAACTCCTAGGCACTGTCCACGTGCCGCCCTTGGCGCAAGGATTTCTGTGGGTGGGGGTGGGGGGAGGGGTACCAGAGCCACAGTCCCGAGCCCTCCCTCCCCTGGGCCACTCCGTGTCCTCCGTGGAGAAGGCTTGTCCTGGAGCTCAGAGCACCTGTCGGCATCTCCTGCGATGCGGTCCAGTCCCTTCCTCCTTGCCCACTTCCCAGTGAGCCCCCCTGTGGTCTAGCCCGTGGGGCCCCATCACCGGTCTTCCCACGGCGCTGACCACACGCCAGAATATCCCCCGTTTGAGAACTCCCAGAGCTTCCCAGCCCCCGAGCCCCCACAACACCCACCCTGGCCTCTTCCTGCCGCCCATTCCCTTCCCGAATCTCCCACCACGGGGTCGCTCTTCCAATCTCCTCCTGCTCCCACAGCAAGGCCTGCCTCCCCCGCAAGACCACACTCTGATCCTCTTCCGGGGACGCGCTCTCCTGTCCAGTGACCCAACCCCAGGCTCCTCTCAAGTCCACACTCAAGGTCCACGTCCTCCAAAAAGCCGTTTTTGACTAATCCGACGCCAGGAGGCTCCTTCTCTGATGCGGCGTTACAGCACTTAGAGGACAGGCATCGGGTCTGCACCGCCACACGCGCTGCCTTGGAACCGAGCAGCTTCTGGCTTCTCCAGGAGACCCAGAGTGTCCCGAAGGCACAGACGTGCCCCACTTTGGGCCTGGCTGCCTTCTGGATGGGCCGCGCCTCTCCCTGCGCAGGGCAGGCCCCTTCGTCCTTGAGGGCGCACCTACAAAGAAGCCTTCGCTGACCACGCTCTCCAAAGGAGGCCCCCATCACCCTCTTTCCAGCTTCCTGCGTGGTCCTGCCACCGCAGTCACGTGACACGGGATGATCTGGCACGCTCCTCAGCTGCTCACGTAAGGTGTTGCTGATGGAGGTGCCCGGGGCCAGCGCGGGCACGTGAGAAAGCTCCCCGAAAGGCAGGACGGAGCTGTCCGAGGGACCGGCCACATCAGGATGGAGGGCTGGAGAGACGGGAGGGGCAGAGCGGGAAGAACACCTGAGGGTGTGGTTTGGTCAGAGAGAAAACCTCAGGTGCTTTCGGAAGAGTCGGAGAGATACTGGAATAAAGGAGGACTTCGGTAATTTCCAACGTTCTCAGAGCCATTCTTGTTCGTTAAGTTTACGGGTCCTTCTGAAGTCTGATCCTGAGCCCCTGCTGGGCATCCAGCACCCGTGGTCCAGGGAAAGCCGCATGACCAAACGCTTCTAGCTTCTTGGGGACCAGTCACCTCTGGACCATGAAATGATGGTTGAGTAAATCTTCCTGGAGAGCCGAGAAGCACAGGCGCTAAGATGCTGGTCGGCTAAGCCCTTTCTTGCAGTCCCGCCTGCTCGCTGTCCTCCAGGTCCCTCCGGACTCCGGGCCTGAAATCCCCATGTCCTTTTGACTCCTTCTCACCTTTACCCTTTGTGTCAAATCAACTGTCAAGGCCTCTGGGTCATGGCTCCATGATATGTCTTATACTTACCCCTCACTCTCCCCCCATTGTCACCGCCAGGCTCTGAGCTACTAAAAGAACCCGCTAACCGCCCCTTTCCCACCAACAAACTGGGGCTCACACCCCATCTCATCTGTTAGGGGATGCAGTGAGCCCCTTCCTCACACAGCTGCTCAGTTTCCAAGGTAACAGCAGCTACAGGCTTCTCAAGTACGGTCCCCCTGCCAACAGTGCTGGAGTCATCTAGAAACCCACCAGGCACGTGGTCATCAGGCCCCGCCCAGGCCCACCGACTCTGGGGCCCTGAGGGTGCGGCCTCGCAGCCTGTTCTAGTAGGCCCTCCGGGGGCCCCTGATGCCCGTGAAAATGTGAGCGCCACGGTCACAGACCCACCCGGAGTAACGGGCAGTGGGTTAAAGCCCGAAGTTCTTCAAGTAACACCTCTACGTGTCTGTCTGTCTGTCTTTAATGGCAGATTTCCACATGCAAGGCCTAACACAGGCGGCTCCGCACCTGAGGGCTAAAGGCCCCCGGGCGCCACAGGACCTCAGCACGTGAAGACAGGCACCGTCTCAGATGGATAAATCCGGCCCTCACGCCGACGGTCCGTGAGCATGTAGGCCCTTGTAATTAATAACCTAAGAGTCACTTCAACGTGTTACTGACGGTTGTGGCGACGGTGCCTAACCCTAGGAATACATTAAAACCACTGAATTACACGCTTTGAATGGGCGACGTACATGGTAGGTGAATTATAGCTCAATAAACCTGTTACATTTTTTTAAGTGTTCCTGGCCGCGCAGCAATCTCCTGGAGGAATCCGCCCACGTGTGCACGGGGACGCGTCAGGAACGTGACAGCCTCAGACTGGAGGTCACACGTGTCCCGTCAACCACGTCTGGACCAACTCGTTGCAACGTGCTAGCGCCGCGCGGTGTCAGGCAATGACGAGGACGGACGGACCGCGGTCACGGGCAACAGCGTCCGCGCAGCTTCCAGGCGGGGCGCAGGGGCGCGGCAAGTCACGCAGGAGCGCGGAAACCGCGACTCCGTTCCCGGTGACACGGCCGTGTTCAGGCACCCGCACAGCAGGGCGTACCCCGGAGGAAGTGGCTGCTACAAGCGTCAGGACAGGAGCTTCCCTCGCAGGGAGGGAGGGGCACACGGGCTCCCGGGTGCCGGCGAGGCCCGACCCGCCTGGGCAGCGCGGCGCACTTGGCAGGGCACTTCACGGCGACGTGGAAGCTGTGGCCGCGGGCGTCTCTGCACAGGTGACGTCACACAACAAGAGCCATTGCTAAGTGGGAAGAACGCCCAGCGGCTGTGGGGCCTCGGTATACCATCTCCACGGAAATACAGCTGTCCTCTCGGGGGCACGCGGCATGCTCTTCTCGTTTCTCGTTTTTTGCTTATAAAGGGGTCCTCACACTCAGAGAGAGATCTCTGCGCAAAACGAATGCTGGAGATCTCAGGTGCAGAGACAGCCACGTGGGACGCCTGTCCGCGGGCGGGTGGGGTCAGGGCTTCTGCGCCAGCCACGCGGGCCCCGTGCTCGCGCGTGAGGCCTGGCCCAGCCACGCGGGAAGCGCAGGGAGCCGGGCAGCCGTTCGTCCCTTCCCCGCTCACGCCGGGAAGCCCGGGACCCGGTAAAACCTCCTTCTGTCTCAATA